GACTTGGTGTATCTCGCTCCTTCTGTTGTTGCTTCTTCTGTCAGCAGAAACTCTTTTCTATCCCAACGTGTTAGGAGTTGCAGAGATGGTTTTCACGATTTGGACCTGCTGCTGTTGGGTCGGTCATTAATTATGTCCTGCTGTCATTTTGCAGCATCATCATCTATCACGGTTGGTCCTCCTCCCTGCTAGCATACAGATATGTGATGTGCTCTAATGAGAGAGGGTAACCTCAGTGACCCACTCCCTGTTTGAAACAAAGATGAAAATACTCCACTGAAGCTTCAATGTTTCTGCAACTTTCTTTTGATACTGTTTTGATAAATCAAATGTGAGCCTTCCTTTAGGTTCCCCACCCCACCCCGCCAGAAATAGGAGGCATTTTATAATTTTTTCTTCAAGCATGTTTGTCCTTGTTAAAAATGCATTATGGGAGAGGACACAGAGAATGCGGACCTTGAAGTGTTTTTGAGTTACCTCAGAAAATAATCAAAGTCTTTTAGCAGGAAGTGCACATAAGAGGATTTCTGCATTAGCTGGAGCCATTGCGCAGCGATCAAATGCACCATCAAGACAACATAACTGATTGTTTTTCACATCCTCACATCTGTTGCAGGTGTGAGTTCATCCTCTAGCGGGCAGCTTCTTGTTTCTCTGGGAAGTCTGCTAGATGACCAGCACTGGCACCATGTAAAGCTGGAGCGGCTCAGCACTCACCTCAACCTCACGGTGGATAAAAACACTCATCAGGTTCATGTACCAGCTGAGCTCAGCCACTGGGACATTCACCAGGTGAGAAAGGAACTTTTCAGCACATACATTTTAAAGTGGTACTACATTCAAAATAGCTTTATAGTGTCAAAAACACACTTCCTGTAGACTTTAAAAGTGGCTTGTCGTCTCATTCTTAATGGATTATTGTATGGCAGCTATAATCATTTTAATTCATGTTATTTACTTTGGATCCCAAAACCGTTTTTTATTGATGTAAAATTTCAAACAAACCACTCCTTCACAATTATTTACTTGTCCAGCCACCTACAAGGCACATCACTCATTATTTAATTTCCTGAGTAACCTGCACCTCAATTAAACCAAGCACTGGAGTCAACAGACAATTTTCCTGGCCAATAAAACAAACTAACCCACTGACAAAGCTGACATGGTTGTGTATGAGGAGATATTGTAAATAAATATATAATGAAGAGACTGTTTCTACTGATGTTTTGCTTTTTTGACACCAAAGCTCCAAAAGGTCTAAAAGGATGAACCCTACTTGTACATTTGTGTTGTTTTATTGTGTAGTTAAGTCTGGGAGCTGTCCAGAGCCATGGACTGCAGAAACCCATCCTGTCCAACAGGAACTTCCACGGCTGCCTGGAAAATCTGCTTTACAACGACCTCAACCTGATAGACCTGGCTAAAAGGAACAACCACCAGGTCTTTGTCGTGGTAAGATACCTACGGAAATCTTGCATTCAGTGGTCATCAGAAGGACAAATCTGTGTCTGTGGACGTGTTAGTTTAGAGTGGGGGGAGGTACAGGTATATGAATAGCTCAGCTAATTTAGTCTCTTCTTAGATTTTTTGTTACCTTTTTAACTCATGAACAGAAACAATTCTCCAGAAAGTGAGAAGTAAATAAACTTTTGAGTGCTTGTGAGCCCTCGCAGGGTTGCTGCGTTCATAAAAAAGATTGAAATCAAAAATAGATCCCAAGAAGACTTACAAAACAACTGTCCTACAATTCATGGATGGAGGGGTTTAGGTACAGTTAAAGCTCTGCAAAACTTTGTTTATACATTCTGCAGCTTGAATTAATTAACATTTGGATTCTGGAACAATTTTGAATCAATTAACTAACTGTGGTAATGGCCGTTTTTATTTTTTACTGATTATAAATGGCTTAAGCATTCTTAGACTTTTGGGTAATGTAGTATGATTACTGAATAGAAAACAAGTGGTTCCTCAGTATATATACTGTGTGTGTACTGTTGGATAGTTTAATTTATAAGAAAACATCATATTTTATAAGCTCTTCATATGTTTTGTGCAAACATTTTAATTTGTAAATTAAAGTTGTCATATAAATGTAGTGAAGGAAAAAGTGCAATATTTCTCTCTGAAATGTAGTGTGGAAGTAGATTACAATGTTTTAGTACCTTCTCATGATCCTAGTAAAATCCTGTAAGTATCGCCTTGGATATCTTTTGATCATGCTGGTAATTCATTAATCTTCTCTTGTAGATTTATTCTAATCAAATGCTGCAATGAGGAGAAACTTTTGGAGAGGCTGACTTTTTTGTTCACATCAGATTTTTTTGTGCTCTTCCTCACACTATTTTCTCCTCTTCCCTCATCAATGTCATTATTATGCTAATGGTCACTGTCATGATTATTATTGTCATTCTCATTATTTTCATCATCGGCATCATCATCCTCTTTATTTTTATACCCGTCATCATTGCCATTAGCATCATCATCTCCTTCATTATCATCACCAATGTCATCACTTGCACATTTTGAAGTTGGAAAGCCCAAAGCAAAGAAAAAAAAAAGAAGAAGAAAAATGAATCAGGGAGAAAAAGAGGTAGAGACTGAAAATGATGGAAAGAAAGAAACTTTCTGGCGCGGTCTGATGCATATAAGTCATCACAGGAAAGGGTTATTTAACATGAATTTTATGTTTGCATGATAACGGAAATCAATGTACAATTTGTGCCTCACATTGTGCTCCATTGGAGATTCCCCTGAATACATTATAAAGGAACACTAACCGTATCATATATCTATTGTGCCTCTGAACTTTGGATCAAACTGCATCGATGCTGAAAACAATTATTCTAGTCTGATATCAATTTCTCTATTGTATCATCTCTATTTCCCGCTGCCATGCTGGGATTAAAAGATGTGAGACAAATAGTAATAGACGGTGCAAAGGCTTTAGGTTTTCTACCTCATTTTAGCTGCTCAGCTAATATCAATATGGTAATACAGGTGTCCTTTTTCAGGGAGCTGCTGATGAGACCTCTGTGACATCGAGTCAAACCGAGTCAGCCTCTGCAACTAATTAATATTCATGTTTTATTATCTCTTTCATAATAATTCCTCCTTTCCCTCCTTTCTTTTTCAGGGCAATGTGACCTTTTCTTGTGCTGAGCCAGTTTCAGTCGCTGTGACGTTCACTGACTCCCAGAGCTTCCTCCAGTTGCCAGCACTGAGATCATGGTGGTCAGGGGTTGTTTCTGTGGCGCTACAGTTCAGGACGTGGAACAAGGCGGGACTTCTCTTGACATTTGACCTCCCACAGCAAGAGGGCACAGTCTGGCTGTACCTGAGTGAGGCCCGACTCCGCCTACAGATCAATAAGGCTGGCAGGGCCCAACTGGAGCTCAGTGCAGGTCGGTATGATTTTGAAAAGTTACTTGTTGTCAGTTGTATACAGAGACGTCATAACATATTCTCATAGCTCAGATTCATGCCACAGACATGAAATGCCAGCAGATTTGTTCTATCTAAGCTCAAAAAACAAACTATAACAATGGTGTTATATGTGACAGGACTTTCACACCAAAAGCGCAATGTAGAACTTCAAATGGAGAAAGTGGCTGTTCTACGCTAACTGCCTTGTTTCTACAGCAGCCTAGAAGGGACAAACCAAATGCGGATAGGGGCATTTGTGTGTTTCACGGCCACCATAGTTTCTCCTTAACGCTTGGAAGGGGAGGGTGAAGCGAGAGAGTTGCAATCTGCAATTAAAACTACTAGATGCCACTAAATTCTACACATTGGAACTTTAACTAAAAGTATCTAATTCATTTTGGATTTATTTTGTGTGTGCATAAAGGCTCAGGTCTGAATGACGGTCAGTGGCATTCTGTGGAGCTGAACTCCAGACAAGATCATCTGAGCATCGCAGTGGACAAAGACGAAGGAGCCACAGCTCACACCAGCATCCCACTTCCTCTAACCGCAGATAGTCAACTATTCTTCGGTGGTAAGAAGACACGAAAAAATATATGCGTCATGTGTTTCATTTATCTCTGTTTCTTTGTGTGTGTGTGTGTATCTTTAACTAAAAGTCTTTGTCAAATATTTCAAATTGTACCTCAAGTATCTTGCTGTGAAAGCTGTGAAAACTGCTGACATGGACATTTAGAACTGTTTAAAATTCATGGAGGTACTCAGGTAATAATTATCATCTCCAGATCTCCTTTGGAGGTTTAGTGCTACCCAGAGAGGGATGAAGTCATAAAGCTGCTTAGTCTCTCCCTCTTCGCTCCCTCCTCTTCTTGTTGCTTGATGCATTCCTCTCTCTCCAATCACCCTCCATTTTATTTTCTCTTTCATTTTCCCCTCTCCTGTCTCTGCAGTGCTTGTATATATGTTCTCCTTCCAAAAAGTCTACACATGCTTGCACACTTACACACAAATAAAGACTGTAAATACATACAAGTTACATGGTAGTTCACCTGTCAGACAGGTTGAGAATTACAGTGAGACTCCAATAGTGCTTTAGAGTGATTCTTCATCCTTAAAATTAAATATTACTAAGCAACTCCACTGCTGTGACTTAGTATATTGACACCACATTTCAAAAACTTCCTCCATACATCAGTGTCACTGTCATAAAATCTTCCTTTGAGCTCCTAAAATTCAAAGTGACAATAAACAGTGACTCATCTTTCCTCCCTCGTCTTGTGGGAGGTGTCGAACTCTGCGCCTGATCATCTGACTGTAATTAGAGCAACAGAGAGTCTGGAGAAGGAGTGCTGTATTTGTCCACAGAATGCCACTATCCAGGATCAACCTGAAGCATGAATCGCTGATGGATAAGACATGGATCTCACTCACATGCTTTGGCGGAGAGTGGTTTGATATGACAGCCACCTCACCATCTGCCTATGTTGATGGCTTAGATGAGGGTAAACATCATATACACCAATGATGAAGTGGAGAACAAGGATGCTTATGAACTTAAAAATAGCTAAAACGATTGTGGAATAATAAGCCTTGTGTCCACATTGAATCTGAAAATGCAACTATGCTGAGAGAAACAGGAGCGAGGAAGTGCAGTCTTTGGAGAGAGAATCAATGTACAGCGCTGAATGTCGATCCCTTTTAAAATGACAGGATAAGAATAGATTTTTAAGCTAATGCTGTAAATATTGCTGTGTCTGTTGAGCTAATTCATCCTGTATCACAAGTGACTTAAAGTGGCATACATTCTCAACTTTTGAGTGGGAAAAATATTCAGCGTTCTTCACAGCTTGTCAGTCCAGAAGGATTTTATACTGGGATTCAACAATAAGTCATTATCACTTCTAACACAGATTAAAGTGAGTTTTAACCCTCGGTACGGAATATCACAGTAAACTTTAAACTCATATTAAAGGTGACATCCATAACCTCCCACATGAAGTGATTATGTTAGACATATACTGAGAATGTCAACCTTCTGGTACCACCTGACAAATCTGTTATTATGAAGAGCATCTCTATCCAGGGCCAGTCTTTCAGCACACTTAATAATATACATATTAGTTAAAAGCCACAGCTGATTTTAGCTAGATTTTTACCACAGATAGCTACATAGAATCTACATAGTATCCTTGTTTTTTGTCCATCATGAAAACATAATTAACATAAGT